GGGCGAGGGGGGCGGGGGATCCGGGGGGCCCGGGGGGCCGCCGTCCAGCCAGGTGGGCAGCAGCGTCATGCAGACCTTCAGCACCGAGGCCAGCACGTTGAGAAACAGCAGGAAGCGCAGCAGCAAGAAGTAGGACTCGGTGCCCGCGCCAAACTGGCCTACAGGGGGCGGCAGGAGGCCCGGGTCCTTGCTGAGTCAGGATTCCGGCTCCTCCTCCCTCAGACCCAGGAGCCCAGGCCCCCAGCCCCTCCTCCCTCAGACCCAGGAGCCCAGGCCCTGCCTCCCACCAAATGCCTCTATGAGGTCAGTTTCTCCACCTGCACGTAAAGAAAGGGTCTGGACTCAGCTGCATGAGTCAGTGTCAGCCTGGGGCCCTGTGACCTTGGCTAGTGCCCTCCCCACCCCCGCTCTGAGCCTCCGTGGGCTCCTCTGCGAATGAGGTGCCCATCCCATCCCATCGACCCCAGCCCAGGCCAGGCCCGGCTCAGAAATGATCTGTGACATGGAGGTGACAGGGACCCAGAGCTCGGCCTGCTGACGGCACCCAGGTGTGCCCAGCCCGGCTCCTCGGCCCTCCCCTCAGAGGCTCCGCGGCTCCCTGGCCTGGAACACTCCTCCCTCGTCCTCTGGGCCACCCCGGGCTGCCGAACTGGCCCTTCAGGTTCAGCGGCCAGCCGCCCCTCCTCCTCCAGGAAGCCTGCCGTGCCCTCTCCCTCAGCAGCCTCCTCCGGGCTCCACGGTGCCCTTTGCGTCCTCGTGATAGCACATGCGGGAAGGAAGACGTCACCTCTGTCATCTCGCCTCCTCTGCACGGAAGCTCTCCGTCCTCTCGTGTGCTCCTCCCCGTGCTGTGCGGCACAGAGAGGGGAGGGCACTTGCCCGGGGTCACACAGCTAGCCAGGGGCCAGGGCAGGGGAGGGCGGCACCAAAGGATGAAGGGGCGACATTGCATGATTGCATGGCCAGGTTCAACCGTCTCCATCAGCATACCCGGCCGGCGTGGCTCAGTGGTTGAGCGTTGACCTATGAACCAGGAGGTCACGGTTTGATTCCTGGTCAGGGCACCTGCCCGGGTTGCAGGCTCCATGCCCAGTGTGGGGCGTGCAGGAGGCAGCCGATCCATGATTCTCTCTCATCATGGATGTTTCTCTCTCTCTCTCTCCCTCTCCCTTCCTCTCTGCACTCAATACAAATATATATATATCTGTCGTGTATTGGTTGTGTGGTTGTAAATAAATTACTCATTAGTAACTTGTATGTGCCTCCGTTTTCTCATGTATAATGGGGTTCCTGGGACCCATTTCCTAGGTTGCTGTGGGGAGAATCCATACACAGATATAATGCTCCCTGACCAAATCCAACCATGACCTCACGGTTCATGGATCCGTGCACAACCACTGAGCCACACTGGCCGAGCTTCCTGTTCCAGGAAGAGAGAGCTGCACATGCAAAGGCCCTGTGGCAGGATGGGGTCTGGGTGCTCAGAGATTGGACCCTGGGGAGAGGAGGCAAGTGGGGTCCACATGCATCCCTTGGTTGTATGTGCCTCAACCAGGCATCACACCATAAACATGGGCACATCCGGACAATGCTCCGACCCCCTGAGCTTCCCGGCCAGGGCGAGGCGCTGTGACCTTAAATGGGGTGTTTCAGGGGGCCTCTCTGAGGAGGCGACATTCGGGCACGACCTGAAGGAGGTGAGGCCGTGGAAGGGAACAGCGTTCCAGGAAGAGAGAGCGGCACGTGCAAAGGCCCTGTGGCAGGATGGAGTCCGGGTGCTCAGGGAGCAGCAGGAGGCTGGTGTGCTGGGACAGAGTGAGTGGGGGAGGGGGCGGTTAGAGGAATGTCGCTGAACACCCTGATGAGATGACTCTACTTTTGTCCCCAGAAGGGGCACCGCTGGAGGATTCTGAGCAGAGACTGGGACTAGAGGGAGGAGCAGCAGGAGGCTGGTGTGCTGGGGCAGAGTGATGGGGGAGGGGGCGGTTAGAGGAATGTCACTGAACACCCCGATGAGATGACTCTACTTTTATCCCCAGAAGGTGCGCTGCTGGAGGATTCTGAGCAGAGACTGGGACTAGAGAGAGAGGAGGGAGAGAGCAGGGAGACCAGGTAGGGGGCAGGACCAGGGGTGGGAACCAGGTGGGCATCGGTGATGAGACAGCCTGAGAGTGGGCTGCCCTGGGGGGTGAGGTCAAGCTGTGACATCTGACAGTCTGGGGGACGCGCTGCCCAGGCCGCCTCGGACTCCCAAGGCCATCACTGCGGGGTTTATGAGGGAAATTCCCAGAGCAGCTGGGAAAGGGAGCAGTCGGGGCGGGGGGGCGGGGGGTGAGGGAACAGGTGGAGATGGAACTACGGACAGGTGTCCCGAGAGGGCCAGGCACTAGCTCTGGGGATAGAAAGACAGCCCGCGCCCGGCCGGCCTGGCTCCGCGGTTGAGCATCAACCTATGAACCAGGAGGCCCCGGGTTCGATTCCCCATCAGGGCACCTGCCCGGGCTGTGGGCTCGATCCCCAGTGTGGGACCTGCAGGAGGGAGCCAATCAATGATTCTCTCTCATCACTGATGTTTCTATCTCTCTCTCCCTCTCCCTTCCTCTCTGAAATCAC